AGAAATGCAAGTTTTACGGCTGCATACGAAGTAACCTATATCTATTACTTAAACTTCAGGTGCCTTAACTCATCGCTTTCTGTCATCCTCTGTCAACGAAAAAGACCTTGGTAAGCTCTATGACATCGCGACACAAGGTTACTTTCACGATATCCGAGACATGATGATAAAGCGTAATAGGAGAAAACAAGACCAGGTATGTACTAATTTAAAGTGATAACCTCCCTACGGCTCTATAGTTATAGTCAACAATACTAACGAACATAACCGTAAGTTCAGCTTCAAGTATTTGGCTGTGCCAAAGCATGTCATTGAGATATGGTTGTGACTTTTTTTTAAAATCAGAATTCACAGGACGACTACCTCAATTCTCAATAGCCGAACGGACGTGGCTTAAGGGAATAGTCCGTGCAATTGTTTTGATGTTTTACCTAGATTTCAATAAACATTATTTTTCAAACAGCTTACTCTTTTACTTACATGGGAAACTGTTGAAGTGTTGAGAATGTGTGTTTGAGTGTCAGTTAACTTTTGGTTAAATGCACATTCCTTATAAATAAAACATCACCTGTTCCTTCTTTTGCAGATAATTTCAAATAAAAATGAATTAGCAATTGCATTGGATATGCAAAACAATCGATGCTTAAGCTTCGGCTCTAGTGTTGTACAATAATACGCTTTTCCTTTTAAATAAAAATTTTCGAAAATGTGCCGCTTTTCCACTGCATTGCAGAAATATTTTGGTCTGTTGTTGGAAATAAAGGCGAACATAGGAGACCTTTGGAGTTCTGTCAACGGATGGAAAATAGGGAGTTCTGTGTGTATTTAGGCGAAAAGTAGGCAATTCGGCGGATATTTAGGTGAAAATGCGGAAATTCAGCGGTTATTTAGGCGGAAATGCGACAATTCGGCAGATATTTAGGCGAAAATGCAACAATTCGGCGGATATTTAGGTGGAATTGCGAAAATTCTGCGGTTATTTAGGCGGAAATGCGACAATTCGGCAGATATTTAGGCGAAAATGCAACAATTCGGCGGATATTTAGGTGGAATTGCGAAAATTCTGCGGTTATTTGGGCGAAAATGCGACAATTCGACGGATATTTGGGCGGAAATGCAACAATTCGGAGGTTATTTAGGTGAAAATTCGAAAATTCTGCGGTTATTTAGGCGAAAAAGCAACAATTCGGCGGATATTTAGGCGATAAGTCGGTAATTTGTCGACAAAACGGCGAAAAAGGCGACATTCTGGCGCGTTTTCTTTTTTACTTCCCCTTTCGCTACCAAAGCATTTATCCCCTTATTTCCCGTTTCTTCGCCTTTATTTCCCCTTTTTGGGTTGTCTGGGATGCATTCGACCCAAGTCCCGGTTTAAATGTCAGCTGTATAATACAAAAAGGCCTGGACAGACTCCAAGACTGGTGTGAAGCATGGTTTTGTAACAGCTTAGGTTGGTTGGTTAAGAGTTCACCTCAAACAACCAAGCCAAAACAATATAGTTCAAATATTGCTTCAGTATATCGTGCATACCTGAATCAAACCAGAAAAGAGTATTTGACACAACTGTACTTGTTCCTCATATTTTACACAATTTTTTTCTCCTTAACCGTATATTCTTTTCCGTTTTGTGGAGTACTCTTATGCACCCTTGGTGATGTACCTGGTTATAAAAGGCGGTCGTCACAGACCAAAGGTCATACATTTGATCTGGCTTGACAATGAGTCCAACTTCTAGCAAGTTTACACTTTTACATATATGCATTATAAAAGTTTTTTTGTTTTGTTTTCATACTGTTTTGTACACAAGATGTCTACACTATGTCTATTTCCTTCCAGAATACCAATCCGTTCTGGAGGCCAATCACTTACGTGGAACCGAACAATTATCAATTATATTTATGTATTTCCATTTTGTATCCTATTATTTTATGCAGGCAGTGGAGCAGTTCTTCAGGTTTTGTTGATTTTCACCATTACCTTTGAAGTAGATTCTTCTTTACTTTTTACTTGAGGGTGACTCAAGAGGCAGGTGAGTAAACACCTGATAGCCGGTCTGAGCATGGAAAAATCGTACCTCACCAACACGGTGTTGGGTAGCCCTCTCGCGGCACTTCCCCAGATATTCTTGTTCCTCATTCTCACACTTTCTCTTGAGAGCACATAGCAAACCATCAGCGATAATTGTAGAATAAATCATATGCTACAGAATAAGATGACAAGCTAGCAAATGAAGAGACATCCATGGACTATCGTCAATTGCCGACGGAGTTAGTCGTCACTGATTAGAAGTCAAACAGTGAGCGAGTTGATAATTTTCGGTTAGGCTGGAAAAACAGAACTAAGGTGTTTTTGATAGATACGTTAATCGTACCGACGTTACTACGTAAGTCGATTCTAGGGGGAAGCTAATGTAACAGCTTAGGTTGGTTGGTTAGGAGTTCACCTCAAACAACCAAGCATATGCCAAAACAGTACAGGTCAAGTATTCATTCACTTCCTTATTATGTATAAGCGTTGTATTTCCTATTATCTTATATTGAATGTTGAGAGGCTTTGTTTGTCTAATTAAATAACCCCACGCTCCACTGTGACTGCGCGAAGATCGAAATAAAGACCTATTTACTACTTGTCTGGTTTCTTCTATCAATAGCACGAGGGTTATCTTAAGGCACGAAAGTTTTTCCCTCTTATTACTGAAAAATCTGTGTACATGTATTTCGGCACATTTACTCGGTAGAAAAGCTTGGAGCTGAACAAGATGTAATTTAAACAGCTAAGTAGCATCCATGATTTAAGAGTAAAATATTTCAAAAGTCACTCACCAGATAGGCCACATCCCAAGTCTCTAGATCCCGTAGACCTATTGAGTTTATCAATCGTAATTTTCATTTCCAAAATAACTCTATGAGAAATGTGTTCGGCCCCTTCTAGAATACTTCGCGGTTATATTTAGATTCATTTGCTCCATAGACTGATGGAAAATTGAGAAAGTGCAACGCCATTTTATAAGACTTCATGCGCCTGACCTACCATATAAAGAATGATGTACAGAATGTAAACTGAATCCCTTATGGTTAAAACAAATTAAACTTAGCCTTACTTTACAAAATTATATATAATAAAACCACAGTAAATTATGATACTTCAAAACTTGCCAAAACAGTAATTATGACCTTCGGAAACAGGATTTGTACCAAAGATATATTGTTGTAGACTGAAGTTTGATCAGTTTTAGCTGACATTCTAAAGTGTCTCACCCATGGCTACTCAATGGTAGGAGTAACAATCTCTTACTGTCGAGATTTTGGGATGGCAAAACATTCTACGGCATATCAGAATGAACAGTGTCACCAAATATTTTGTATAATTTCCTTAAGATAAAAATCCTGTTCAAGTATATTCAAAGATGTGGAATATGAGTCTGTACAAAGGCATCAGTCTGTTATCAATGTTGTTCGTTATCACACCTAATAAGTAAACTCTGGAAGATGTGGAATCTTTCATGTTTCTGGACAGCATCATCAATAAAGAAAGAGGATCTTGTGCAGACTCAAAGGTGAGGATTGGCAAAGCAATGGCATCATTATTGCAGTTGGAGAACATATGGAACTTTAAACAACTGTCAACCAATATCAGAGTTAGAATCTTCAATATGAACGACAAAACAGTTAGTCTTGTTGTACGAGGCTGAAACGTGGATTAATGCCACAGCCATCATCAACGAAGTAAAAGTATTTATAAGCAATCTTGTACACCAGATACTCAGTGACCGTTGGTCAGATACCACCGGCAACATCCAACTGGAAAGGAAATTAGGAAAAGACGATGGAAATGAGTAGGACATGTATTATGGAAATCCCCAAATTGCATCACGGGGCAAGCGCTTACCTGAACTCCTGAAGGGAAACGGACATGAGTAAGGCCAAAGAAAACACTGCGCCTAAAACTGAAGGCTGACTTCAAAAGCATGAATAGTAGCTAGAAACAACTGGAAAGGAAGGAGAGTCCAGGAGAGAGTTCGATGGCGAAAGTTGGTGAGCAGCCTATGCTCCTCCTCGAAGGTTAACAGAAGCAAGTATTTAATTACCTTTTGGTACACTCCAATTTAAGTCGTCCGGTCATTCATCCATATTAGATCATGAATGAGTATATTGTGCTACATATACCTCAAAACTACTGGGCACCTTAAATCAAATACTTCACAACTTATCGACAACTCTTCAAATATACTTCCTAATTCATCAGGTACTAAAATTTGGATCGAATGGCTTGATATCTTTCGATTAAAAAGGTATTAGGGATAAAAGCGTTATTTAGTCCCGAATATCTGTGGGATCTTTATATGCCACCATATGTAGGGGACACGCTTTACATCATGCCATGCTATGATCTAGTGTTAATGGTTAGCCGAATAACTTTAGTTAGGTTTGCTCATTGAAATCAACACAACAAACATCGTTTCCGGGCATCTGAGAATCACTAATTTTAAGGATAAATTTACTACAACACTGCAACTTATCCTATTGGCATTACGTCCCATTCTCATTCAAGGCCTCATAACATGAGTTTATATTGTTTCTGGACTGTTTCGAAAGACGTCATTAGGCAGTGAACTTTGTTCATAGAAAGGGGTTACTCTGTACGGCGGTATAGAGATATATACAGAAAACGAGAACAGCGCGTGTTCATAGACTCAAGTAAATATCCACCTAAACCAGATTGATAATTTATTTTACATAACTGAACTGATGGTTTAAACGAAAAAATGGAGTGATATATAGAGGCTTTTCAACTATTATCGACAATAATCGACCATTTCATCTACGATTTTTCTCCAAAAATCGGCGACGCTTTTGCATTTAACACAGCACTGACTAAAAATAAAAAGCAACGTGCCAATAAAATAAAATTCTTGTTGCTTACAAATTCCGAGAAAATTTTCTACTTAACAAGCTGATTGACCAACTTATGACAATGATGGTAATGCATACTTTCGTTTGGTTCATTTCATTAACAGAACCGCGCTTTTTAGTTGTAAACGTGCTAATATGAGGTTGTTCGTTAGATCCCACCTTGGTGGTCAGGCTGTAATATCTGTGGGGCCAAATGAGTCCGTAAAGTCACTAAAAGATAAAATTTCGGTTGTAACCGGCATTCGGGCTACTACTCAATCCCTTTATTATCAAGGCTCTCCATTACTCGATAGTGGATTTCTAGAAGATTTTGGTATAGCTGACCTAGATAATGTCGACGTAAATTGTGAACTTCGAGGTGGTGGGAAGAAAAGAAAAAAGAAGAATTATACCACTCCAAAAAAGATCAAACACAAAAAGAAAAAAGTAAAACTCGCAACCCTAAAATTTTACAAAGTAACAAACTTTACTGCGTAATTTTGATATTTGCAGGTTGACTCAAATGGGAAGGTAACTCGGTTACGAAGAGAATGTCCCAATGAGAAGTGCGGTGCAGGAGTCTTTATGGCCAGCCACTTTGACCGTGAATATTGTGGAAAATGTACCCTAACATATAAACATGTGAATTAGTAAAAATAAAGTGAGAGAATTCGGTGTTAGCATTTTGTAATTCTTGTTGGTGATGCGCACCAATGTCACAACACACCGTGAATCTCAATATCTGTAAGTGGGGTACTAGTAATGTAGTTGTAACTTTCAGTCACTTTACAATTGTTCTAAATTCCACTCGTTTTAGTCTTAAGAAATTCGTCATTGTGTTAAAATATGAAGATCCAAATCACATTGACATCAGGATTCCCTAGTTCTGCTCGGGATTATGTATGTAGTATAGGTGTCGGGTGAATAATAAAAAAAATCTGCTTGTTGATCGGGCAGCTTCATGTCATACCATTTTGTAACATGTTTATATGGGAGTTTAGACTAATAAGGCTTTTCATGAAGTGAATTAGGAGTAAAGAATCTATTTTACCTACTCTGCGCTAACCGATTTCGGTTTTCTTCCCATTGAGGTCCGTATATCATTTGCATGTAAGGAACTAAGTTGTTACTATGCTTCAAACTCCTCTACTAGTAGATTTATGTCTAAAACATTAATATTTTTCACTCAGCCGGATGCACCATATCACCATCTTGTCTACAATCGCGTTCTTAGCAAAACATCATAGAAAAACATTGTTAAGCGATCTTGTTCTAATATAAACATTCCATCAAATTTACCGTACGGCCCTGTTAGAGCCAAAAATAATATATCTGTGTATACGAATTGCAGAAAAATTCAGTTTTGCTGGAAGGGTTAGCTGAGATACATCTATACTGCAAGGAATCGAGTTGCTGTATTGTGCACTTCAGAAACTATGCGAAGCTCTGAACAAATGGGTTCCAGACAGATTAGTGATTTAAGCTAACGTTTCAGTTATTTTGGAAAGGCTAATAATTCTTAGCTAGCTTGGCATGACTGGTTACCTTGAAGTTCTTCGTTCACCTTTAAAATTGAGGACAACTATTTGTCGACTTGACATAATCCCTTCAAACTGCCTGCGTTCTTAGTTCGTTCCGGGTTATGACTAAGCAGATATTCTGTGATGATCGTACGTTGATGTGCTTGCCGAGTATTGTATCAAAGATATTAGCTCTCATAGTCGTCTACTGCTCAATCGGAACAGAGCGTTGGGCAATGGAAGTTGAAATTAAACATCTACCCTCAACGTTTTGGGACCGTTAATTGCAGTTCAATGTCTGGCTCAGTAAATTGCACTCAACTACGTTGGTTGACAGGTCTGACGCCCATCAATTGGGCGAAGGATCTGGTCAGAGCCTTTTAGAAACTCAATTACATCGCCTGTGTATAATCCAGCACTGATTACGTTTTTGTCGGGGGCACCCACTATTGCCGTGGACTGGTCCTTAGAAATTGATTTAGATGAAGTGAGGGTGGGGATGACATGATTCTGGTGAAAATGTCGAGAATTTTAACCCGTCCCTCGACTAATCGTGCACGAACTTGTTAACTATGTCCTGAATATGATGTGATATACTTAAAGTACGGGAAAACTGCTCCAGATTAAGTTCACAAACAACCGTTCCAGTAGTCACCAGAAGTAGTACTGTAAATACAAAGATAAGTTGCTAAGTAAATACTTCTTTCCAGTTAGGAAGACAAACAGAGTTTAGGGCATTTCAAGAAATTAACAAGGGTTGGTAAGCACTTAAGTCAAACAAAACAAAGTAAATAACTCAATCATGTGAATAGTTTTTAATTGTCAGGATATGAAGGACTAAATGAATACAAATATGAGTCCCATAGCCGCTTGGGTCGCAAGTAAGAGTTCACGACAGGTCAGGGTGGTGATTGATGGATATCGACTACTTCTGGTAAGAACTGATATCAAGAGACAGCTGACAGGAAATAAGCTAATTAGTATGTGAACAAAGGACTCAGTAGTCAGGTGTTTCCCGAATATTGCTTAAGAAGCCGTTTACTTCAATGCTAAGCTTGGCCATAGTGAAGTAGTCAATAGGAGTAGAGGATACACTTGTCCAGGCACTATAAGCCCTGGTTAAGACGGTGGCTCGAAAAATACCAACAGGTGCTCTCAGTGGTCGTTCTCATTTGTTATCTTGCATGACCTGCAGAATACTAAATAAGAAAGATTGGCTCAGCGAAGAGCTTTTTTGGCGGATTCATTTTCGAAGCTGTACAGTCGCAATATACTTATTCTTTCAGGATAATAATAATTGCAGAATAGATGTCCTTCGTCTATAAATGGGCGAGTACACTGTGCAGCACTATATTACTATGAAACGTGAGCCACTAAATAGGCTATACCCATTCGGTTGTCTCTTCGAAGTATTACTTGCATATAGTGGAACTACTAAAAACGTAAAGTATGCTTTAGGCTTGTTGTTTGATAAAAATGGGGCTGTGAAGCCACACTGACATGTTCCACGTATGACTGGCCGCTGCTCCCAACACAATGCTGGCTGGAAGTTGGTTGCGAAAAACGAATGAATAGAAATCACTATGAAATCGTTAATCACCGAGTAGTATTTAGAGGTCCAGACTTCCTGCTTGAGTACCTCGCAAGTCCTAATTTACGGCAGGAAATGTAACATGGTGTAGAAGCACTGATACTCATTCTCTTTCTCTCCATACTTTCAGTTAAATATTACCTCCAGCCTTTCATTCTTCGACTTCATTTTCCCTTTTTGGACTGTATTTCTTATATCTAGATCTCCATTGCAGGTGATAATATTCCTCTCTACGATTATTTGAAGTGTGACAGCTTGGATTGATTTGCATTGTATTAAACCGTATATTGTTGACGTTTGTCATGGAATCTATTGAGTTAATTGTTGAGCTCAAATTGTTCGCGAGGACCTTAACTGACTAATAATTATGAGTAATCCTAACCGTAAAGTGGTTTGCTATTCCTGCCCATGTACACAAACGTGGAAAACGACCCTCTGTAGCAGCTGGCAGACTGAATTGTCAGAGTATTCCCGTAAACGAAGATTGAGATGTATATTTTCATTACAGATCCTACTTTTATCCACTGTTGGAATGCTGTGAGGAATTTCATGTCTTAATACCAAAGAGCTGATGAGAACTTAAACTTGTGTAGGAACCTTTGTCACTACGCTGATACGTATAACGCTTATATACTCTCCCAAAATGTTAACAACCTCTACCCAACTCTCAACTAACCTGACGTCTTAGTTTTGTACGGTGAATGAGGCTTCCTAGGTTTAGAGTCAAATCTTCCTTCAGTTTATTCTTAATTTTACTGTTGCATATAGTCCGCATCTTTTCGTCACAACAATGTTTACTGGGTTTCTAATGACCTGTGAATCTGATAGCTATTTCATCAGTCGAGTAAGCTCAGTAAGTAATATTAATCTACTAAACATTAGATGGCCTGTAGATTCACTATGGGATAATAATCGAATTAGACCGACAATCATGAGGGATGAAACGGAATACTTTGATACAACAGTATGGTCACTTCTACTAACTCCTTAATTTGGGTTATCAGTTTTACTCAGCCTGGTAATCCTTAGACGTTTTCTGTTTACTTGCATAGTTTAGTTTAAAGGAAATGGATGCCAAACTCCTGAAAGACAAAGGTCTAGAAGAATGCTGATGGAGCGTGACAAATGTTCATTTGTATCTGGAACACTACTGACACCTGAAAAGAAACAGAAAACCAACCTTCGTGATAAGAATCCATTATTCCGGAATTTTAGTCAATAAAATTGGTACCATTTTCATGCATCCTGCTGTTAAAGGGTCACCTACACTTTATAATAACAATAGTATACTAGTTTATTCTACAAAATTTCAAGGTAGCAGTTCACTATGAACCATCAAAAGAATAGATATTATCCGTAAGTAATCTGACCGACAGATAGTACTCATGAATATTTAACGGAGTGGTGAAATGAAATTACAGCATATTCACAAGAAACATAATGTTGATAAAAATGTATTAACAAGAGGAGAACTCAGGTATCTTTTAATACAAGAACAGTAAGTTTTCTCGCAAACTTATAATTGCACAAGCCACTTATGAATTGCAGAAGCATTATTTGTAGCAGAAATTTCAACGAAATCCACCGGTAAACGACTTTTTGCAAAAGTGAAGGTCACTCCCGGCTTTGTCAATGTTGATATGGTGGACTGATCGAGGCCAGCAAGCGCACCAGTACGTGTAAATGTAAGAGTATTCCTGAGTTTAAAAAATGTCATAAAAACATTCTATTAACAGAAAGTAAACAGTAAATGGTATAGATCTTCAAAGACAAAATGTAATACACATTGACATGTTACGGTTCATCAGTTTCACCAATGCCCTATAATGTTATATACTCTTTGGAAATAAGTTAAAAGTATGTGGTGTAGATATATTACTTGGTCCACAGAATTTACGACCTGGTGCAAGTAAATGATATTTATTACTGTCCAATGACAAACAGGCTATCCCAACATTCAGTCAGTTGATAATCAACCTCCCCAAGTATGACATACGCTGTGTAAATAAATTAAACAAAACTGTTAGGAGTCTATTAATGATGAATCGTTGTATAAAGGTCCATACCTTTAGGCAGCTATAACTCTTGATGATGTGACCATTAACAATCAGTGGTGTCTATAGTGCTACATTTTACAGCAAAGAGTGAACAGAAAAAGCAAGTGAAAGAAAACTATAGTCCTAAAATTTGTAAGGAACTAGTTGATACTATGCCGACTAGGCTCAAACTGGACGATTGTACCATGAATTAATTCATCATACAAATAGACAAGGAAAGTTTAGGACTTTAATATGAGTAAGACTTGCCTAGACAAATTAAATGAAGCTTTATATGAATAAACTGTCGAACTACGTTTCATTGGCGACAAGTGAAACTCAGCACGTGATTTTCTACCATCTTTATCACCACTTTCTAGACCTCAAAATTTGCAATACCAACGGAAATGCCATTATGTAGGTAGTGAACAAATGACATATCAAAAAAAGTCAGACGATAAGGTTTGAAAGATATATCGAACAAGTTTAGAATTGGGTACTTTGAATGCAACTCAAGAGAGGCTTAGGCTTGATGCTAGATATTTTTAACCTTTTTCCGGGTGAGAAAGTTTTTGTTGACAAATTATATGAAATAATCTACCTAAAAAGGTCCTATCAGTTAGTGGTATGTTGTTCTGCAGAGTAGTACCACGCAGACCAAATAATTGTCCTCCATGGATAACTAACCAAGTCAAGAAACTTCTTAGACGTAGGAAAAGCATTGGAATATGTTTACATCTACTGGCTTAGAACAGTATATATCCAGTTATTGTAAGATTAGGAATGCTTGTAAAGCGTTAGTAAGTAAGACCAGACGGTCATATGAAAAACATTTGTTTAAGGATTGTGAAAATAATCCGAAAATATTATCGTCGTACAAAAAGAGGTGAACACGGAGAAGTGATGGATTCCTACCACTTTTGGTACCAAAAAAATCAGTCGACATTGGCAAGAGATGGTGCCGAAAAAGCTAAAGATTTATCGGAATATTTTAGCAAGATGTTTTTTACCGATAACGAGAAACGACCAATAATTGATCGTGATCAGGGCGGCTTGTTGATGCACCCTGTAGTTATTGAGAAACATACTGTCTTAAGACTACTTCAGCATCTCAAACCTGGTAAGTCCAGTGGCCCTGATGATATTCACTCTAGGATTATGAAAGCCCTATCAGATGGGATTGCTGAACCTATGGCCATAATGTTTGATATTTCTCCGAGACAATAATTAGTCCAGTGTATAAGGCGGGGAGTAGAGACTTATTTAGTAACTATCGACCCATTAGTTTAAGCAGTGCAGTTGTAAAACTAATGGAAAAGATTATTCGGATGGTTGTTATAAACTATGTGGAAGGGCATAATCTTTTACCCAGGGAACAACATGGTTTTAGGGAAGGCCCATTATTTTCGACAAATCTGCTTATTACAAAGGAAGACTGGGCTGAAGCAAAAGATCAAAATATTCCTGTAGATGTAATTATCATAGATCAAGGTCTCCCATTCTAGTCTTAAATTAAAACTGGAAAGTTTTGGAATCCATTATAAGGTCATAGACTCGATAAGCGACTTTTTCTATGACGGGAGATAAAGCGTTAGGGTAAGTGGAGCTCTCTTAGCGTGTAAAAAGTGGGGTTCTCCAAAGCACAATCCTCGATCCTCATTTTTTACTTTATGTAAATGCATTACCAACTGTAGCAAAGTCATCTGTCCTACTCTTCGCCGATGACAATGATTTGGAGATCCACACACAGTATGTCAGACAGAATAGTATTACAGGATGATCTCAACTCATTGGTGGTATGGATGGACGGGTGGTCCCAACAAGTGTAATGGTGCATCAAAGATTACGAAAATGATCAAGTCACATGAAAACTTCCCAATGATGTAAGTCTAAGTGTCATATTGGCCAACCGTAATCTGGCGAGCGTTAGTGCATTACTATTCGACGACTTTCGAAGATAAATATGAATTATTACGCGGTGGATATTTAGGACTTCAATAACTACCTGACATCATTCTACCTCCGTCTTCTACACCGAAACCTATGATTTAAAGTATGATATTGTACCACAATCACAGTGAAAACGAAAGTGGATATCTGAGGACAAAAAATGATGGGTATATCGGCACTTATGATGTTAAGCATGATTTAGAAAAGAGCTTTAATCAATATCTCTAGCAAATAATACAATGAAAAAAGCCACTTTATTAGTCACATTTTATTCACGATGGCGAATCGCATTCGTACATAATAACCTATGAAGAGCTTCGTACTGTTGTGATATGTCTAGCTGAATCTTTACAGTACAAATTTAGAGGGATGTATAGAACCTACGTCCCAAATATCTGAATAAAGGTGACCTGTGATTTCAAAGATTCTGATCTACTTATTCGATTGTGTCGATCTTTTCCAGAACCCCTTTGCTTACAGCATGATATAATTCAATCAAAAAAGCCTTCAAACGCTAGGAAGAATTAACAAATAGTTTAATAATTATGCACAAAGTAGTGTTAAGATTGAATGACTTACAATTCTTTTTCAAGCAAATGAGTCACTACACTGACGCCTTTTGCCGTGGTAGCATCTTGTTTATTGCAAGCTATTAGTAATTTTACGCGATTCTTTATAAAGACCTTATCCACAAGTATATTGTACAAAAACCTACAAAACGTATCGGCAATTGTTATACAGAATAGGAAGACTTGCTCAGCAACATCTTTTACGTCACTATGAATAGACTTTGAATCTATGACAAATACCAATGCCCTAGAACTAATTAGTAACTAACACGACATACAAAGTGTCCGACTTATATTTGTGAATTATCTCGTTTCGAACTTTATCATGGCCAGGAACATCTACAAGAACAAGAGCCTTTCAATATGAGGCAAGATGCTCAATACTTTTTTATCTGTTTTTAGATTTCCAACATTCTCATTGAGAGATGTAAAAGTGGAAGATGGATTTCCATATACAATAGATGAAAAAAGAGTTGTTTTCCCTGAATCACAAGCACCAATAAACAACACGTTTTTAAGTCTCTTTCTGACCGATAACCAATATAGTATAACAGTTACAAAACACACAACAACAGCAATAACTATTGGATACAACGAAGTATCCATAACGCAATATGTTAAATTTGCGGCTGTTTTGTCACCATTATATAGTCAAACTGACAAGTTGGAATGGTTGTGGACGGAATAGAAGAAGCTTTCTCTTCGCAGGCTTCCGTGTCTAGTAGGAGATCACCAAATAGTAGGTTGGTAAACCTGTGTTAATCCTGACAGATTGCCTTCCAGTGAAGGTTCAGCTTCTTGAAAGTATTCACTGATGGGGCTGGTACCACTTGTTCGGGTAAGGCGTTCCAATCATTGACTACTCGACGAGAAAAACGGGACCCCACTTTAAGTGGTTTATGAACCTTCCTGCTATGACCTCAGAGATTATTAGTGTTGGAGGGAGCAAAAAGATAAGACATATTAACACCCAAATCATAATTAAAGATACGAAATGCCAGTATAAGGTCACCTCGTGTCCTACGATACAACAAGGGGAAAAAGTTTAGGCGTTTTAAACGCTCATCGTAAGGGAGTCTAGAAAGACCCTTCACTAACTTCTTTCCCACACGCTGGACACGCTCAAGTGAGTTAGTATCCTTTACCAGACACGGGCTAGCTGCTTGGATACAGTACTCTAAATGTGGTCTAATATATATGGGATATAAAATTCGAAACGTCTCCTCGTCAAAAGATTTGAACGCTTGGCGAAGTGACCATAACGCACGAAAACCTTTGACAGCGGCTGCGTTGCAATGCGTAGTTTTTTTAAACCATGATTTTATACTACTCCTAAGTCGTTATGCTCTTGAACGCATAGAAGAGGTTTACCCTCAATAGTGCAACGGCAACTATTACCGTGACCGATGTGCATTAGCACACTCTTCCTAGCATTGATTTCTAAGCCTCACTCTCGAGCCCATCTAACTAAATCGTCTAAGTCAGCTTGAAGATCCAGATGATCAGCCGCACTTTTTATTGTTCTCCAGATTTTTACGTCATCCGCAAACAATAATGTCGACGACCTAAGCAACAGTGGCAACTCATTAACGTAGTGAAGGAAGAGCAGAGGGCCTAATATGGTGTCTTGGGGTACACCACCTTTGACCGGCTTCCGATCGGATAGCGTTCCGTTAACCCTCACTCTCTGTCTGCGGTCACATAAGAAACTTCCTATCCACGCATGTACAGTACCTATTATTCCGAAGCTCGTGAGCTTCTGCATAAGACCTACGTGTGAAACCTTGTCAAACGCTTTGCTAAAATCTATGAATATCACGTCGACAGACAGACCGTTATCTAGGACTGCTGTCCAATCCTCCCTCGCAATAAGCAAGTTAGTCAAGCATGAACGCTTGTTACGAAATCCGTGTTGCTCAGGAGCCAACAGATTGTGTAAATCTATGTGGCTTAGCAACCTAACCCGAATTATCTTTTCAAGTAACTTAACGACTATACTAGTTAGACTAACAGGCCGGTAGTTAGATACTATATGTCTCTGATCGTCCTTGAATATAGGACTGATTATAGCGTCCTTCCAATCTCTAGGGAGTTGAGCGAGTGAAAGGGACATGTTGAAGAGTGTCGCGAGCGGTTTTGAAATAATGTCTGCAAGAGATGACAGCAACAGTGGATATAACTCGTCAGGGCCCGGCATCTTACTAGGTTTGAGGTTAGTTATCAACGGAAGGACAGTTTCCTCAGTCTGACTGTACAGGTGCACCTGTACAGATTCAATGGCTGGTATTTCTGTGTGAGTGGGACAAGTGTTTGTTACAATAAACGTAGAGAAGACTTCGCGAAAGTAGTTTGAAAAACTCTCAGCTTTTGCTCGATCTGATTCAGCTAGTAAATCTGAATTTTCGTGTAACAGTAACGGGGGAATACCATCACTACGTTTCATTCGCCGTTTAACATACGAAAACAATCGTTTCGGACAAGTACGGTTATCATAAACCAACTATCGTTCGTAAGTAGTATGAGATTTAACTATGGTTTTCTTACGAATATTCTGGAATTTTCGGTGCTCATGCTTAAATGGTGCATGACCTGTCAACAAGAAAAGTCCCAGAAATTTTTCCTACGCTTTAACAGCTTTCGGGTTTCCTTATTAATCCATGGAGGGCAATGTGATAGCTTACGTGCTGACCATGGGATAAACGGCGACGTTACGGACTCGAATGTAGCCTTAAACTTATTCCATTCATCTTCGATCAATCCATCCGCGTCGACCGACCAATCAGTCGAGATAGCACGGTTTCTGATTTCCGGAATATTAGCTCGCCAGATATTGGGACGGGGTGGAGCAGATACGAATTGTATACCATGTGTCCTAAACTTAAAGTGAATTACAACGTGATCACTGTTCACTAGTGGAGGAAGGTGCTGGATATCAAAGACATCCTCAGAGTGGTGGGTGAGGGCGAGGTCCAGCAGTGACGGATCATGATTCAAATCAATATGTGTCGGTTTTGTGATACATTGTACAAGTGCACACTGAATAACGGTAGATAAAAGGTAGCTATCGAAACCACTACCTGGAGCTGTAAGCTCTATCCAGTTGATATGCGGTGCGTTGAAGTCCCCAATGATGAGACAACATTCTGCCATACTCCAAGAACAGATGTGTCTTAGGATAAAGTCGTCAGCCAGACAAGACGGACTACGGTATATTCCCCCTATAGTCACTAACCCATTTCTAGATTTAATCTTACAACATGCAACCTCACATGTGCCACTGATATGAGCCTCCGATATGGTTGATTGTATACGGAAGTGATCCCTAACGTAAAATATTATACCTCCCCCCTTGCGACTTGAAACTCTATCACTTCTGATACAGATATAACCAGCAATGAAAGGAGAACAGTCTATATCAACGGTGAACCAAGTTTCTGTAATAACGATTATATCGGGACATAATTCTTCCACCATCAGACTTAACTCGGACGTTTTATTTCTAAGACTACGAGCGTTCGTGTAGCACACACTTAAGGTGTTTTGGAAATCAATCGTTCTACCCATACAGGCCTCGGAAGCATTGGCTTCCAAGACCTGACTACCCGAAAACCCTTAATGGTAAGGTTATTTTCGCCATTTAATTTGCGAGTCCTGAACTCCGTAAGAGCATTTTTCCACTTGATTCGATCCTCAAGCGGCCAATCTGGTCGAATACGGATATTTGAGGCACGAGTTTTTAGTGCGCTTTTCAATAATATGTCTCTTTCTTCGAAACTCCCGAGAACCAGCTTCAGGATTCTTCTTGGTTGAGTCTCGCCTCCAACCCATTTACCAAGTCGTATTACTTTTGTAATATGTTCCCTGAAACTTCTTCAGGCAGTACATTTCTTACCACAGACTCTACTAACTGCAGGTCATGTACATGTCTTCTAGCAGGGTCATTGTCTTTTGACCCTTCTAGATTCCAAATAATTAAACTAGGAAGGGGTTTAGCTTCTTTTTAAATCGTGTTCACGGCTTTCGATCGTCATGTTAGATCCTGCATATTAACTAATGGCATCTTACGATTACTTTTCATTGCAACAGAGCGACGGGAGTCAAGCGAGTGACTCGCAACAATGTTTGACGAGGCTTCACTTTGAGACTTTCGAGGAGTAGTTTGTCTGCATTGTTTATAAGAGCAGTAAACGTTTATTATCACGGATATATAATGCTTCACAACACTGTCGTCCGAAACGCCTTTTTTACAAGTATTCGAAAGCAATTTATATCAGATTTTTGTAGCGTAGGAATGCAAAGATTCATCTGGAAAATGGATGATTTGTCAATATAAATGTGATCTATTAAGATGGTAGCGAAAATGTTTAGCTCCATCGGATGACTTAAACGAAGTTTTGCTCCGTGAGCTGGATGGTTTGGTCATGGAGCTCTCATTTTTCTTATGAACAGCCTAATCGGTACAAAATTAATGTGGAAGTGAAGTATTCGAATTTCTCCACATATTACTCACAGTTTGTTCTGTCGACCTCGGTTCTGATTAGCTAATGTTGACCTTTAACCTGTCGTTGCTTACTTCTTTGTTTTGATTGCATCTCCCGTTGATTTGATACTTGGTCTTATATTTGTGCGTAATTTTTCCGATTTCTTGATAGATTAGATCAGCTTCAGTGTCAGTCAGCAATTAACAAACATATCAATGGGATCTAATGAGTAACATCACTTATTACTCAAGGCAAGTTTGGTCACGTCTGGTACAGTTCGGAGTATATGTCGAATATCCGTCTGTAGTATGGGTCGATTATGTGCTTAATGGTGGCAGAGGACAACTTACAATCATAAAATGAAGTTCCACAGACTGATAATTCAGTATTTCAGTCTAGTAACCTCTGTTTGCTCAGGTTGATTATTGGATTATGATTTTGCAGCAGGTCTATACCAATGATCGGCGTAGGACCCTCTTCAATAACAAAGAACTAGTGAATAGGTTTGCGTAATCCAACATTAAGATCGGCTTCCGAGTTTCCATCCGCAAATTGAAGATTCGTTCATGTGTACGATCGTCAGAATTTGCAGGAAGGACGTTGAGTTTCGCGCCAGTGTTGACGAGATAGCGAAGATCTGTAACCACACCAGTGATGCATATCAGATGTCCATGTCCACCGAATACAGTCGCTGTTAGCGCGTGCCGGTGGGGGAATCCTCCAAAAATTGTTTCGAATTGGGTAGCTTGAAGATTGAGAAACTTCATGATTCCTTGCAATTTCTAAAGGACTTACCATATTTAATGCGGTACCAGCACTAATCAGGATTATCTGTCCTTCGCGGTCTAAAGACAATGTTTTCGGAGTTTGACAGCTCCCCTAATCAAAGTATACCAATCTGGTCGAACTCCATGAGAGTAAACGAATTAAAAACACAAGAAACACTGTAAATCTAAGCAACAGGGATTTTGAAATCAAAGACGTCTAAAGATTTATCATGGGAGACGATATTCGAACGAACATGTAATGTGTGATGCGACAATACTAAAATTGACCGAAACTGCATGAATGATGATATCAAAATAAATCGAAATACCACAGTATAATAATTCTATGAGTAGGCAA